TTCACCAGAGCTGTTGGAAGCTGTGACCATGTGGAACGTGCGTCCCTGTTTCTTCTGGCAGTGGAAGTTGGTCTCAGCTGAGTGAAGAACAAGCGTCTTCTGAGCTCTTTCATGGCACTTTTCTGCAGAACCATGTGACTTACCTATTCCACGGTATGATGTCTCGACTGACACCTTGGGAGAGGGGCTTCCAAACTTAACATTTGACACTAGAAGCCAACCTCCTAAAATAAAACCAACCTCCTAAAATAAAACCAACCTCCTAAAATAAAACCAACCTAAGTGATCTTGTGACATTCATGTAACTAGAATTTTTTACATATGAATAATGGTAGCAGGACCGAGTGGAGTCCAATTTGGTCTGTAATCATACGAGTGATTTACAGAATTGTGCGACCGCAAAGCGGGAGTCTGATTTTTTTTATCACGAGTATGATTACAAACAGAATTGGACGACAAGAAGGCCAATTAATCAAAACAATGACAAAATTTGAGAAAGAAACTAGATATCAGTTATACGTTTTCTTAAAAACGAAAAACAACAGTTTACTCGGCGGAATGCGAGACAACAGCGCCCGCACATGACGCGTTCTGTCCCCTCATACAAGCATGACGTGGTAACTGTCCCTTTCACGGTCCTATTACACTGTCAAATTGCAGGCATGACGCGCATACTGTCCTGTTGTGCTCAAGTCGGCAGGCTCTTGATAACCAAACACGTTCGAGAGTTTTTTTACGGTTTCGATTAAAAAACATAACAAGGATCTTCGTAGAGAAAGGACGAACAGCCACGATCAGAATGTTCTAATAGAAACTGCTCCAAGTCAAATATACTCCGGTTAAAGTCCTCGTGTCTCAAATAAAAAGACTTATTCACTTACCACCATATCTTTCCATGTCAAAATAGACCCTCAAAGGGTTTCCACTTTTCTCGGGGTTGATCCAATACTCCCCGTCTCCTTTGGAGTGTCAAGAGTCCAGAATTTCTTTACAGGAGAAGGCCGGATGAGCAGAATTCCAGCCTCGTATATCGACATCGGAAGAGGAAAGAATAATCATTTGGAACTAGGAGAGGATCAAACTTAGAAACAAAACACGCCACATAGGTCTTATTCGAAAAGTAGTTCTTTTCGCGTGATCATTTGATAGCTTTTGATTTTGGAAATCTCTGTAGGATCCCTAGCATCCTTTAATCTCAAATTAAGAAAAGGGAAAAGTTATAAGGAAAGGCAATAGAACATAAACTTCACATTCTCTGAAAAGCGCTGAGCAGAAGTAAGGAATAGGTTACCATTTTCGCTTGGAAAGAGGGGTGGGAGAGGTGAGCGGGTCTTGCGGGTGGGGTGGGTCTCCTGGTTTTCAAAGGGAACGGAGATAGGATCAGTCGTCGCTGACAGAGTTTAAAGGTGGGACCAAAGAAAATCGACTGACTCGATTTATTGTGACAACCAAAATGCTTTCCCTTTTTTGATGCAACAAATAGTTTTGATTGTGAATTTAGGGTTTTATTAATTACACTTTGTGTGACTCGGCGAAAGAATATCAGCGCCTTTTAAATCACCAGCTCAAAGGAACTTTCCCTGCCAAGGATTAAAACTTGTCCATTGGCTTACGTCACAATCCTATAGTTTTTATAGTTTTTAGGCGCCCTTTAGTTGTAGTTTCTTCGTCTTGAAACAATGAATCGCTTTATTATGTTTCCTAGCTATGATTCTGACTGTCTATACTTTAAATGTGCTGTTGCGTAAAATGATGCATTTTATCTGTATTTTTGCCATTCCTTTTGTTTCAGATTCTTATTTTATCTTGAGGGAGTACAATGGAGAATTCTTACCATGGTCACACGTAACCATGGTAAGAATTCTCCATTTAAAGTACAGCAGTTTTCACTATAAACTATTTATAACCATGTAGTTTTAAACTATAAAATTTTTTTGAAATTTTTTAGCCGCCCTTTAGTTGTAGTTTCGTCGTCTTAAAGCAACGAATCACTTTATCACGTTTCCTAGCGATAGTTCTGACTGTCTAGACTGTAGGTGTGCTGTCGCGTTTATCTGTATTTTTGTCATTCCTTTTATTTCAGATTCTTATTTTATCTTGAGGTAGTAAAATGGAGAATTCTTACCATGGTTAGGCGTAAGGCCGGTAAGGATTCAATTAAAAACTAGAAAAATGAACGGACAATCCTCTCTCGACAATCAGCTAAAATACAACAAACATGAGTCATATTATTCGTTTACATTATTTTGTCATGAACAATCGAGCAAATCTGAACGCGAGGCATCGGCATTGTATCACTGAGAGAACATAGATACCACTGGTCTTTAAACATGCAATGTCCAGTCTCAATCTGTTAGCGAGATTGTTGCTCGTGTGAGTTCAGTGGAATTCCTGGCATAGAGACCTTCGATATGGTAGGACAACCCCCTCTGTATGGAATGACGATTATTTTAGTCTCCTAATTGTAAACTGCATGCGGTTTTAAAAGAGCCCTTACATAACCTACCCTGGTCTGCCACAACGGCAACGTTCTCTTCCAAAGGGCACATGACGTTGCTGATATCAAGATTTGAGCCGACTGAAAACCCGAAGGAAAAGGAGCTTATGGGTGCCAAAAGCATAATACAGTTCTTGACTTGTGTGAAGCTCACAATGCCCGGTTATTATGTTGGATATAAACCTCTCAATCTTGAAAATTTAAATATCTTCGATTGTGATTGGTTACAGTATAAAAACTCGTGTCATGTCTTAAAAGTGGAAAAAGAAACCATTCCCCAATCCCTGAGGGGTTGAAGGTCAAAATCAGTATCATTATTTTTTCATTGTCTGGGAGATTTCCCAGCTAGCCTCGTCCTCTTGTGCTAAGCATGGTTTTTCTCAATGGCTTCCCGCCATATCAAACAGGTCGTTGAAATTTTCTTGTGTCAGTAGTGAGTTTTTTTCGAACTGCAAAGTGTCCTTTCCTCTTCCTCTGGAATTTTTAGTATTCACGCGCAACGCTCGCGATCCGATCAACTAGCCTATCATGTTTAGAGTCCTTCAACTTAACATTGAGGTTGACGTGGTCACTAGTTAAAACTTTTATTTAGAAGGAAGCAGTAGTGAAAATTTAATCGTTATGTACCTCTCAACTCAAATACGCTTTTTGATTGGATTGTTGAATATGTCTAGCTAACTTGGAATTGTCATCCCACGTCAAACTCACAAACGAACCACAGGCGTCCGGTTGCTCATCTGTCTGACCGCTGAAGTACCGGACCACAGCTTCACCTGAGCTGTTGGAAGCTGTGACCACGTGGAATGTGCGTCCCTGTTTCTTGCGGCAGTGGAATCTTAGCTGAGTGAAGGACAAGTGTCTTCTGAGCTCTTTCATGGCACTTTTCTGAAGAACCATGTGCAATAAACCGCGATTATTCGGATTCCTTTTATTATCCGGACTTCTTTTGTCTTGCACTCTTTATGAGCATCAATTAGTCGCATTTGGGATCCATAAGAACTTTTTCCCACCAAAAAACGCTAAATCCGCCCGATGAAAAAGAGCTGCAGGGTGTAATTTCAACTTAGAAATATTTTTTCAAATATGAAAATTGGCAGACCATCTTCCTACGTTCTAACTCGTACATTTATGAGTCACAATTTGTAGGTATATCTGCCATACCATTCTGTGCACGTTAAATCTGATAACCGA